AGTGAGAAAACCCTGCATCTTGGTGCACAAGCGTAGCTTTGCATAGCTGCTGATAGAGTGAGTACGGAAGAGGCTCTTTTCCAGATTCTTTTGGTGCACCGGACTGATATTTAGTTGCTTGCATGCGCTTAAGTCCTGAAAAAAGTGTAGCCATCTTCTTCTCAAATGTATTTGGTAGGGGGACATCTTGACGTCGATACAAGTCTTTCAGCGCGCTGCGATACCCGTTGAGCGTGCTGACGCCCACATTCTTCCTCTTCTCCATGAGAAACGAGTCGAACTCATCCAGAGTGAAGCGGTCCAAGTCAATATTACCACTAGCGTCAAAGAAAGTAGGTGCTTGCTCCATCTTCGTATCACGAATCCACTTGGACATCGCACGAAGGCTGCTGCGATATGCTTGCTGGGTCTTGACTGAAATACATGCGTCCCGGACATCCTTTGCTGTCACCTCTAGAGTTTCTGCAGCGCCCTCGCCGTTCATGATGGTGCCTGCCGTTGAAGGGGCTTCTCTCCGTTGAGGACTCCGTGTTTTGCGGGATCTCCTGAGTGACCCCAAACTCACCGGAAATTAGCCAATGGCGGCTCTGGTTATGCGTTGGATAGCTTGCCAACGATTTTTTTTATCATACACTGCAATACGATAGAACATACAAAAGTTAAGATAACCTGTGCCTTACAATTCTGCATTTTGAAAGAAGCATGGCTCAAAATCCTACGATCTCATACAAACTCCTATATACGTCCGACAAATATCGGACACTCTGTGTTTTTCACGGATTTGTCTGTGCGATTTTCTTTCCTTCCATCATGAAAGAGAGGCAGAAAGTTTACTGCCTACAGTAAACAAAGGCAAATCACACATGTTCAAAAAAAAAAAAAGAGCCACATAGCCCAAGCAGCAAGCAAATTGCTGGCAGCAATGCCAACTTTACCTGTTGATAAGCACGTTTCGATAAGAACAGGCTTACAGTATTAATACATTTCAAATTCTCACTCTCTAATTCTAAAGTACCCTGTCCAGTTCCTAACATCTGTTACTTGTGTGTCACACATCATACGGATTTAATCGAAGCAGTTATCTTCATAGACAGGATGGCTTCAGAACATGTTGCCACTTCGCCGAATCCGGAGGATCATCTGGACAAACTTTCCATTCCGCGGAGGGTGGGGTGTCAGAATTCACTCCGAGAGTGACAGAGCGGAACCATGCCGTCTCGCCACAGCAGCCGCAAGAACTCGCTTATGTGGCTTTTAGCCTGTGTGTGCTGCTTCGCTCTGGGGCTCATCTCATCGTACGCGAGCACTTTTTCGCTCGCATCCTTCCAGGAGAAGGCTATACAGGTTAAGACCAACTTACTTCGGGCCAGTCCGTCGACGTGGCAGAATTTACACGAGGGGGTACAACAAAGCAACGGCTCTTCGGTCGAGAACGACTACGCTCGGGGCATTATCCTGTGTCTACACAATGGTATCGTGGCTATGGGTGTGTCGCTTATCCGGGAGCTACGCTGTCTGGGCAATACGGAGCTTATCCAGGTGTATCACTGCTTCCCTAACGAGATGTCGGACGAGAGTAGAGCGCTATTGACCCGTAATGACTCGAAGGTGGAGATTGTCGACGTATGCACGGAGATACTGTCCAAAGATGGCCCCGAGAACCTCTTTTTAGGCGACAAAAAGCTGGCCAAAGCCTTCCAGAACTACTGGATCAAGCCATTGGCGCTGTATCATACCAAGATTCGAGAGGTTATTCTAGTGGATGGAGATGCAGTGTTGATGCGGGATCCTTCAGTACTCCGCCTCATGTCTGGGTATCAACGCACAGGCACGACATTCTTCCGTGATCGCATTGCCAAGATGAACAGGTTTCTCAACAAGAAGAGGGAAGACGGTAAACCGTATATTAAGCACCTGGTCGACTCGTTCCCGTATAAAAAACTCGGACTCAAGGGGCCAAAACCATCCGAAGAACTGAAAAATACTTTTTCGTGGCGTGGAGATACTGGCCACGAGATGGACTCGTCCATGGTTTTAGTGGATAAAACAAGGGCGGGCAAGGCCATGGAAGTCTTGAAGGAACTCATCTTTAATACGCGCTTCCACTTACAGTTCTCCTGGGGAGATAAAGAGGCCTTCTGGCTCGCCTACGAGCTGGCACATCAAGACTATTTTTTCTCTCCTTGGGGATTGAGTCTGCTGGAATCAGTACCGAATAATGATCTCGCACATCCGAACACAATGTGTGGTAGTATGGCGCATTTCTTACCTACGGAAAACGAGACGGATACAGCAGAACTGTTGTATGTCAATGGCAAGGCGCTGCTCGAGCCGTTCCCGTCTGGAGTGGAGAAGACTGTCAAGGGCAAGCGGTCAAGAATGTTTAACTTAAATCCGACCCACTTGACGCCGCGATATCGACACGACGACTTCGATCTGGCAACTTCTAAATCGTTCGAGTGCATGGACAATCTGGGATCTGTGCCACTTCCTCATTATTTCTTCGGTCGTCTGCTGCGTCGCCGATTCCACTACTTCGCAGCAGAGACAAACGCGTACGAGGCATTGGGGGATTGTCCCGAACGGACAGGTTAGGCTTAGAACCAGCCAATGTCTCGTCCCATTCGTTAGCGATGGATGGTATGTGACTGGCTGCGAGTATGTAGAATGTGACTCAATCAATGTACAGGCGTTTTCAACTCTTAGATTCTTAGTTCATTCTCCTTTTTGCAGACTAAGAGAAACGGTGATGAGTGTGAAGGATGGAGGCGACGCTCCTGTGGGTATTGTGCCGTGTGAGAACTGTGGCAAACCTTCGCACAAGCGATGCAGTCGATGCAAGGCGTTCGCTGTGTGCGATAAAGCGTGCATGGTGGCTATATGGAGCAGACACAAGCCGGACTGCAACAATGTGGTGGCAGCACGGAAGAAGCTAGCGGAGGGGGGAGCTTCCGTGTCGGGCGTGCCGTGTTCAATTGATCCGGACTCTTTACTCCTTCTCAATCGTCTAACCGGGGATGTGTACGCGAAGCATGGCGTGGAGGAACCCCCTGGACGCGGATCCACGATGAATGTGGAGAAGAAGTTGGCATTCTTTTTGGATTTCCTAAAGGTCCACGATAGCTCGTCGCCAGAGAACAAGAACCGTCCTCTAGCGGAGAAGCTGTTCCTTAATCGCCGCTACAACAACGCGTACCGTCACGCTACGGAGAACTTTACCGCTCGTGAGCTCAATCGACTCAATGTGTTGATGCAGAAGCATCAAGTTGGCTCGGCGAATCGTCTGTTTTCGAAATTATTGAGAGATCCATGAATGGTTCCAAGTGCAGTGTGAGCAGTTTGATTGCTTCTAGCTTGAAGGGTCGAGGTTTACTCAAGTTTATCAAGTGATGATAACGTTGCGGCTACCTGCGTTCTGTTGTGAGTAAATGGATTCAATGAGAACTAAAATGCTGTGATTTTTCAACTGTCTTGGAAGCTACAACTTGTGCATCGCGATGTTTTCGTGCTTAATCCATTAACCATTAGTTGAGTTGGGATGGGTGTCAGCAAG